GGGTGCCACTGGGCTTGCACCCCTCACACTAATGCTTTCTTCTTAAATTTTTAAAAGATTTATCTTTTATGTGTGTAAGTGTTGTGGATGATTGTTAGCTACCATGTGGGCGCTGGGATTCAAACCCAGGTCTTCAGAAAGAACAGCCAGTGTTCTTAACCACTGAGCCACCTTTCTAGGCCCTTAATATGTTCTTCTAATAGCCTTGTGTTTTTGCAAAGCCACATTGCTGCCGAATTTCACCCACTGCTCTATTGCAGGAACTGGGGAAAATTGGAAGTTTCTCAAACTTAGCCCAGGTTGCTGTGTTCCACCTCTAGATTTTGACTTAGCAGAGAATAAATGCTTATTTTTATTTGAGCATATACACTTTTAACAAGTTCCCAGGTGATGCTGATGGTCAAGGAATTACGTTTTTGAGAACCATTAATAAGATATATTCATCAATGAAACATGTAGAATTGTCTTTTGCTTTCAAAGGCTTAAGGAGAGGAAATGCATACCAAGTAAAATCCAGTACACACATACTCTCATCTAACTTTTCTGACTCTGACATAATCACTGTATAATACCATGAATGGGGGTATTAAACCTCAAATCACGGTTCTTGCCAGGGCTATACAATGAGGAATCCGTGAGCAGACACGTTTGTTCAACTCTAAAATCTTTGCTACTAGGCTATTGGAATTGTATTAGATCTGAGATCTAATTTCATTCTTTTTTTGGTGGGGGGTCTTTTTGAGACAGGGTCTTCCTGTAGTCACAGCTGGCCTGGATTCACTATAGAGACCAGGCTTGAACTCAGATCTGCCTGCCTCTGCCTCCCAAGTGCTGGGATTAAAGGCATGCACCACCATGCCCGGCTTCATTCTACTTTTTATATTTTACTTCCTATAGGAGATGGTTTTGTTTTCCACCTTAGTTTTTTTTTTTTTTTAAGCTGGTTCTGCTCATCCTTAGAAATAGGTGAACAAAATACAAATCTTGCTGCTTGTGGTGGATAGCTTTAGTTGACACACCTGGGTAGAGGGAGTCTCAATTGGGAAATTGCCTCTATTGGACTGGCCTGTGGCCATGTCTGTAAGGCACTTTCTTGATTACTGAGTGATGTGGGAGGGCCCAGCCCATTGTGGGTGGTACCACCCCCCCAGAGCAGGTAGTCTTGTATTATATAATAAGAAAGCAGGCTGAGCATGGGCCAGGGCAGTAAGCATTCCTTCATGGCTTGTGCTCCAGCTCCTGCCTCCAGATTCCTGCCCTGAGTTCCTATCTTGGGCTCCCAGATGAACTGTGACCTGAGAGAGAAACCCTTTCCTCCCCAAGTTGATACTGGTCAGAGTACTTTGTCACAGCAGTAGAGAAACAAACTAGAATACTGCTCTTGAAGACCAATTTGGTTCTCAGCACCCCCATTATGCAGCTCACAGCCATCTGTAACTCCAGTTCCAGGGGAGTCTGACACCCTCTTCTGACCTTCCCAGGCACTGCACACATGTAGCACACATATAGACAGGCAAATATACATAACTAAAAGCATATAAAACTTTTTTTCCCCAAACTGAGGACCAAACCCAGAGCCTTGTGTTTGCTAGGCAAGCGCTCTACTACTGAGCTAAATCTCCAATCCATAAGTTAAATAATATCTTTTTGCCAGGCATGGTAATGTACACCTTTAATCCCAGCACTTGGGAGGCAGAAGCAGCAGGCAAATTTCCATGAGATCGAGGCCAGCCTGGTTTACATAGTGAGTTCCAGGCCAGCTGGGACTACAGGGAGATGCTGTCTCAAAAAGAATAAAGAAAATTTTTAAAGAAATAAATTTTGAAGAAATAAACTTAAGAGTTTCAGTAATTAACTCAAGAAACTGACTGTTGGGGGCTGGAGAGATGGCTCTCCAGTTCAGAGCACTACAGGCTCTTGCAGAAGACCAGTGTTTGATTCCCAGCACCCATATGGCAGTAACTCTAGTTCCAGGGGACCTGATTTCCACTTATGTCCTCTGAGGGCATTGCACAACATGGGTGCACTTATATGCAGGCAATACACATAAAATAAAAATAAGAAATTGACTCTTCCTGGGTATGGTGGTGCACTAATCCCAGCACTTGGGAAGCAGAAGACAGGTGGATCTCTGTGAGTTTGAGGCCAGCCTGGTCTACATAGTTTCAGGCATGCTGGGGCTATAGAAAGACTGCCCCCCCCCACCAAAAGTAACCTTCCAAGATCAGATTGAAAAAAATGGTCCTTAAAAATATCCAGTTTGACTCATCATTTCTTTCATGATGACTTGTTTTGTTTCCTGTGATTCTTCCCACAGGGACATCTGCATGAGGCTTAGCCTCGGTGACTAATGGAGCTTGGCATTGAATATCTAATGAAACTGTTGAGGTAATAATGTCTTGGCTGTGTGCCAACAGTACCCTAGCGGGGGTCACATACCAACCCCCAAAGCAACCAATGCTGCAAACTCACTAAGGGCATGATTCCTAATGTCAGATCCATGAAATTCTATGCATCAACCTGGGGCTGTAGTCAACACCAGTTAGTATGGGCTGCGCTATCCATGTTATCCGGTAGAGTTGGCACGCACGCTGAGCAACAATTAGAAAAGGACACAAAAATAAGCCCCTTTCCCTTTGCTGCTATTCCAAGTTCAAAGAACAAAATACCTCATTTGATTTATTCAATGAGTGAAAAATGAAGACCACCAATGCCTTACTGTCTGATTAAAAAAACATTCAAGCCCATACACAGTAAGAAAACGTTTCAAGTAATATATTCTGAGCTTGCAGTCAAGGAAAGCTGCCTAATTACATGATGAGCCCTGGACCTTCTCAAAAGACCATTGTCCTGACTTAATTAACATGAATTAAAACAGTCCTAAAACAAGGGGGCACATTCCCATTAGGGTCAATTACTCAACCCTAGTCAAGGCAGCAGAGGATTCCCCGGAGGAAAATCTGTCACTGCTATCCGCCTGAGAGACATCTATTGCTCAGAAGGCTTTGCTGCAGCTGGAAGCCCCCTGCAAGGACATCTGCTCCATATTGAATTTTCTGCACTCTGATGGACATGCATCATGGGTACAGCTGACGCAAATGCCTAAGTGGTCAACAGAGCCCAGGCTAGTGGTGGGACACATTCCTTGTGGGTAGAGTTGCCCAGGGAGCTCTTCCATCTTGCTTATTCTGGTCTCAGACTTGCTATGTGACTATCTGGTATGTCTGTGGCTGCATAAGAATGAATGAGGCAGTTAATAGGGAAATGTCCTTTTGTTAGCAGGGTTCAAAAATGAACTAGTGGTTGCTTAAGGAGTTGGGCTTTGCAGGGGCAGACTTGGCTTTACCTCTCAGAGGCAGGTGACCTCCCACCATTTTCTTTACCTCTCATCTTCAGTGTCCTCACCTGTAGAGTGGCCCAGTTGTGACACTATTTTAGATGGGTAATGCTCAGTTCACATGGGCCATGATCACCACAGGAGACCACGACATTAGAAAGTTGATTCCTGGGGCTGGAGAGATGGCTCAGCGGTTAAGAACACCAGCTGTTCTTGCAAAAGACCAGGATTCAAATCCCAGCACCCACATGGCAGCTAACAACTGTCCATGACTCCAGTTCCAGGGGATCCGAAGCCTCTTCTGTATTCTGAGGGCATTGCACAATATGGGTGCACTTACCTACATGCAGGCAATACACGCATATACAGAAAATAAAAAAAAATAAAGTATTTAAAGAAAGTTGATTCCTCGCTCATGTCAGACTTGAGATGCCTTGTACATTTTTTACTTTTTTGCTTTTGAGACAGGGGTCTTTCTCTGTAGCCCAGGGTGGCCTAAGTCAAAGTAATCCTCCTGCCTCAGCTTTCTGAGTGCTAGGATTGCATGTGTGAGCCACCATACTTGGGTAAAGCATGGTACATTTTTTTTTCTTTAAAAATATTTTATGTGTATGAGTGTATTGCCTGCGTGCAATTCCTGTGGCAAGCAGAAGGGGGCATTAGATCCCCTGGAATTGGAGTAACAGATGGTTAGTCACCATGTGGATGCTGGGAACCAAACCCAGGTCCTCAGCAAGAACAGCCAGTGCTCTTAAGAGCTGAGGCATCTCTCCAGCTCCCACATTTTTCTTTCTAGCAGGTCTATCTCCCCACCCCCCACCTTTGTTCAGCCCTGTATTTTTCATGAGTCACCTAATAAGACTTGAAGAAAAAATCCACTTTATTTACCAAAAAAAGAAATCAGGTTTAAAATTAGAGCAGCATAAATGTTCATTTAGTTTTTTCAACTTTCTTTATGGATACATCTTTCCAAATTGGTAAATGTCAGATGGTGGCATGAATTACCAACCTTTGGGCCCTGGAAGTCATTTTGTTTGATAGACATATTACCTAGCATTGTTCATGTGGTGAATGAGTGAAATGAATCCAAGTAAAGATGGAACATTAACTCACAGGAAGACTTAGTTATAACACTATTAAATCTCTAGCTTGGATGAACTTGCCTGGGTGTGGTGGCTAACCCCTGTAATCCCAGCACTTGGGAGACAAAGAAAGGAGGCTCAGGAGCACAGGTAATTTCCAGCTACAGAGCAAGTTCAAGGCCAGTCTGGGCTACATAAGGCCTGGTTTAAAAAAAAAAAAGAGAAAACGTTTGTGTTGTTCTGAATAAATAGTGGGTGACTATGGACATTGTATAATAGGAAAGGTCTTCTTTTCTTTTATCACAAAATCTAGAACTTTATTCCCAGTCCCTGAGCCACGAGCCACAGGAACTTCCATAGTTAGTTCACTGGCATCCCATTCTTAACACTTGGGAAAAGTCTAAGCCATCCTTGCTGACTGTTGTAGGTGAATCTACCAGCATCCCACTCTTGTTAACACTTAGGAAAGCATTTCTGCAGAAGATGTTAGACCAACACCACAATCATTTGTTCATGAGATGCAGCCACAGCAGAAATTAGAGTCATAGTTTTGGGTCTTCACTTGGCTCTGCTCTTGAGTGCTAGCGATCTTTGTGAAGCTTCATGTGGGAATAGAAAGATTCTCGATCTAGGAAGCTTTTCCCACAGATGTTGCAGGAGCCACTTTCATCTTCCTTGTGTGAACGCCGGACATGGCTGTCATGGGCAGCATGGGATGCAAAAGGCTTACCACAGTGCTTGCACTTGAAGGGCTTCTCCCCAGAGTGCTGTCTGATGTGTGTGCGGAGTATGCTGGAGGCAGTGAACTTCTGCAGAGGACAGAAAGTAGACAGCTTCTGTGGACTGGACAACTCAACAAAGGAGTTCATCGTAATTGGCACTTACATCACTCATTTGTTTTTTTTTATTGAAGCCTGGGTTTAAGTCTATAGAACATTCTCCATCAATAGCAGCAACCTTTATCAAAAGGACTGGACTGGGTGGGTGAAATTGCTCAGCAGGTGAAGGTGCTTGGTGCTTGGCACCAAGCCCGACAACCAGGACCCAGATGGTGGACAGAGAAAACCTATTCTCGAGGTAGTCCTCTCACCTCCACATGTGCATCATCGCGCATGACTGCCCTGCCCTAAACACACTAAGTAAAATGAAATTTTAGAAGTTAAAAAAACAAAGGATTGAACTGATTTGTTGTTCTGGATGATATAAGTAGCATTAGCTATTAAACCAGTGCTTTGTATATCGCCAAAATAGGAAGTGTTTTAGTATATTTCTAGAACATAGTTAAGGGCTGGAGAAATAGTTGAGCAGTTAAGAGCATGTACTGCTCTTGCACAGGACCTGAGTTTGATTCCTACCATCCATGTTGGGCAGCTCACAACTACCTATAACTCCAACTCCAGAGGGATCTGACATCTTTGGTTGCTCACATGCATGTGTACACACACACACACACACACAAACACAAAAACTAAAATATTTAAAACCTGGTCAAATAATTTTCTTTATTTCCACATCCCAAACCCTCTTCACTTTTGTAACGAGGTTCTATGGAACATAAATCAGATGCCACCCTCGCAGTGTCTCTCTAGAGTGCTTGATTAGCATCATTCTCCCAGTGTGATGATAACACATTCAAGTAGTAATAACAGTAGCTGACATTCAGAGGGTACAACACACCTGGCACTGTTACATAAACTTTACATGTACTGACTGTTATAACCCAGTAACTCAAAAGACAGTGTCTCCCCATTTACTCATGAAGAAACAAAAGCTAATGTACTTGTTCAAGGTTGCAGAGTTAGGCAGGCATCAAAGGCAAGGGTTTAACCTTAAATTAGGTTTGTGCTCTTACATTAGTTTTTAAGCTCCCAGTTTGTAATGTACTTATTTTTAATATTTCTTGCATTTTTAAAGATTTTTTTGTCTTTGAGATAGGGTCTTCTGTAGCCCCAGCTGGCCAGGATCTCACTATATAGACCAGGCTGGCCTCAAACTCACAAAGATCTGCCTGCCTCTGCCTCCCAAGTGCTGAGACTAAAAGTGTGTACCACTATGCCTAGCTGCATTTTTAAAGATGTTATTTGTATTTATTTGTACATGTGTGTGTGAATGTATGTCAAGCGACCAGAAGAGGGCTTTAGGTCTTCTGGAGCTGGAGTAACAGGTGATTGTGTTTCCTGATGTGGGTGTTGGGAACTAAATTCAGGTCCTGCAGAAGAACATCAAGTACTCTAAACCTCTGAGCCATCTCTCCAGCCCTTAAATATTTCTTTTGGATACATTGTAATCCCTGTTTGTGTCTGCAATCATCAGAGCCTTGTAAATTTCTGGTTATTTCATGATATATGCCCCCAAATTCCAGTTTGGCCATAGGAAGACATATCTGACCACTTCCAGCAAACTTGAACTATTGTACAGATTGACTAATCAACCAACATTTACCCAAGATGCATTGTAAATCAGATTTTGTGCTTCCAGCTCTTGCCTACGCAGCCCCATGCTGGACCCAAATGGACCCTGACAAAGGATGTCCCACCTACCTTTGTACAGTACACACACTGGTACGGCCTGTCTCCCGAGTGGACCCGCATATGCTTGTTCAGGCTTGAAGACTGAGAGAAGCATTTCCCACACATAGAACACTACAGCAAAAAGAAAGAGTTGAAATTTAATCTTTCCCCCAGCAGCGGTCTCAGCATTATGTCCTCCCAGGGGTGGGTGAGAGAAAATGTTTTAAATTTAATTTTATCTATCTATCTATCTATCTATCTAGAGTGTACGTGTGTGTGTGTGTGTGTGTGTGTGTGTGTGTGTATAGGCACATACCATAGCACACATGTAGAGAACAAAACAACTTTAGAGAGCTGATTCTCTCCTTCAACTATGGGTTCTGGGAGGTAAGCTCAGGTTTACATGAATGTCCTCGGAAACTTATTCATTCTGTGTACTTCTGTGGCTCCTCAAACCCTGCTGGGTTCGGCTGTCTAGGCCTGAAACTACAGCTCAAGACTTGAACTTGCCTCAGGCCTTCCCAAGTGTTAAGAATAGACGTATCATGCCTAGTAAGACAGAGTTTTTGCACCAGTTCAGTATGTGCTCAAACTGGGGGTTCAACGTCCAACACCAAAGCTGAGACCAAAATCAAGTATCTGAAGTTCTACTTCACTTGAATTTTCTTCTGGTGAAATTAAGTGGTAACTAAGAAAAATCAATGTCTGAACATAAGTGGTATAGAAAACCATGGAAAATTTCAGGGTAAGCTGTGAGCAGCTTAGATGATAGATGTTGAGCTCAAGAGAGAATTCCTGGTAGAGATTAGAAAACTAGAGTTAAGAGTAGTACAGTTGTCTTGGTAAAACATGAGACGACTCCACCAGCTTCTGTAAAGGGAAGGAATCTAAAGACCCTGTGGTTGGGATGGGTCAGTGGGTGCAAGCATGAAGATCTGAGTTCAATCCCAGCACCTATGTAAAAAGCCAGGCAAGGCCATGTGTATCTATAACCCCAGGACTGTGGTGGGAGGAGACGGGAGGATTGCTGGTGTTTGCTGGCTACCAGCCTAGGTGCAGGTTCAGTGAAAGACCCTGTCTTAAAAGAATAAGCAAATTATCCATATTGGTGCAATAGTGGCACTTTGATATTATCTTATGTGTATGAGTGTATTGCCTGCATATATGTGAGTACACCCATGTCATGCAATGCCACGGGATGTCAGAAGAGGGCTTTGAATTCCCCTGGAACTGGAGTTAAGGATGGTTCGTAGCCCCCATGTGGGTGCTGGGAATCAAACCCAGGTCCTCTGAAAGAGCAGTCAGTGCTCTTAACAACTCTGAGGCATCTCTCCAGCCCCAATAGTGGCACTTTTATCTTGTGGGTAATAACTGTCTCATTGGACTTAAGGCCCACTCAGCAGGAAGGAATCCATGCATGGTACTGTAAACACAGCCAAGTATACATTGTTGGAGAGGTCATAGACCCCAGAAGAACCTACTTCTGTCACTTTCCTAGGCCAACATGATTTCTTACTATACACTGTGCTGGGCATGAACCCTAACACTTTTAATACAATGCATGCTACCACTTCTGCTCCATCCAGTGTGGCAGGCATTGAGTCTTCCAACCAGTACCCACAAGCCCTCCCCATGTGTGCTGGAGGATGGGGGGGTGAGAGCAGAATGTCAAGATGGCCATCAAACCTCTAGACTGCTCACCAGGTAGGGCCTGTGCTTCTCATGGACATGAAGAATGTGAATCCGGAGCCGGTCCCGCTTCTCAAAGGAGCGTTGGCAGAGAGAGCAAGGAAATTTCCTATCTCCCCTGTCCACACAGGGAGTGTACTTGAGATGCTTATCTCGGTAATATTTGTAGGTAAACACCTTTCCACACCGCTCACATCTGTAACCTTCAGCAGACTCTGTCAAACACAGGGGTGTAAGAGCCTGAGGGTTTGAAAAACTTAAGTTTACAGGAAAACTATAGACAAAACAAAGCCAGGTGTGGTGACACACACCTGTGATCCCAGCCCTCCAGAGGATAGGGACAGAAGGATCAAGAGTGCGAGGCCATCCTTGACTGCATAAAGAGTTTGAGGCTGTCCTGGTCTACATGCAATTTGTTTTAAGAAACCATCCTTGATCCCCTTTCTTTATAAAACAAAGAATAGCCTGAGCTACAAGCTCAAAACCAACACCAGAACACCTACAGATGGCTTCACAGTGTGGTTTCCTCTGAAGTTTACTTCTGAATTTTCAGAAGATTCTGGAGCTGGGGGGTGGGAGTGGAGAGATGGCTCAGTGGCTAAGAGCACTGGCTGTTCTTGCAGAAGACCGGGTTTGAATCCCAGCACCCACATGTGGGTAACAACCGTCCCGAGAATCTGATGCCCTCTTCTGCTCTCTGAGGGCACTGCATGACACGGGTGTATTTCTATACATGTAGGCACAACACCCGTACACAGAAAATAATTTTTTTAAATTTGGAAACAATATTCTGGAGCTAGAATGTTCACATGAAAAATAAGGGTGAGCCAGGAACGGTGAGCAGACCGGAAATCTCAGCATTGGAATACTGGGCAGGAGAATTGCTGAGAATTTGAGGCCAGGCTGTACTGTATACTGAGAGCCAGCCAGCCAACCAACTAACAAAATAAATCTTGCATTTTCCTTAATACACAAGTGATGATGCTAACATGTATTGAGTCTTACAGGAGAGATGTAGTTATTTAGTGACAGGCAAACCAAAGAATAGTAAATCTATTTTTATCAGTGGAGGAGAAAGGAAGAGTATAGAGCTGACGAGGGTGTCAGATTCATGTGTCTATGTAAGGAGTGGAGTTTTAACACCTACAATCCCAGCACTGGGAGGCAGAGGCAGAAAGGTCAAGAGTTCCAGGTCAGCCTTGGCTATAGCAAAACCTTGACACAGAACAGAAACAACTGAAACCTAAAACAGATATGAATGTGTTGGGAGCTGAGGAGAGGACAGAACCACCTCCAGAAGGACTTGAGGACTCCGGGGAGACCAGTTAAAAGCTTGATTCCAGCCCTGGGAACCTTACTGTCTGTCCCCATGGGAAGGAGAGGAAGGAAGATTGAAGTTTGTGACCTCCAGGACATCACGGAAGGCAGCCAATCCAGGACGAGACACAGCCCTGCTGTGGGGACTCTAATTCAGAGCTAGGATTTTGTTTTGTTTTGAGAGTCTTGTTATATGGCGTAAGCTGGCCTGAACCAAAGAGATCCTCCTGCCACTGCCTCCTCCCACTCCAGTGCTGGTATTACAGGTCCACAATCCCCACATCTAGGGTTTTTATTTGTTAAAAATATTTGGCCTTCCTGGCTCCTAGGGCAGAAAGGGTCTCCAAGATATGGTCAGGGATTTTTACAAATGAAAGTGTTAAAGCACAGCAAAATTCAGAATAAGGGTTCAACAGTGACTCTAAGAGCAACTATTTGGGCAGAAATGGAAGAAATCTTTACCAACTGGCTTCAGCTTCAGCTGGCTACTGAATTTGGAAATGTATCTTAGTCCGATTTCTAGATTTTCTTCTATCCCTTTCATCTTTTCCTACCACAATCACTTTCCCCCCACAGGTTTCTTAATACTGATAACAGTATGCTCTGATTAAATACTTTAGCCTGGTGATAATTGAGTTGTCTTCAAAGATCAGTGCACACTAATCCTAACTTTTTTTCTTTTTTTGAGACAGGGTTTCCCTATAGCCACAGCTGGCCTAGAACTCTCTATGTTCAGGACATAGACCAGGCTGGCCTATTTCATAGAGATTTTCCTGTCTATATCTTCAGAGTGCTGGGATTAAAGGTATGCCACCAAGCCCTTCTTAATCTCAGTGCTTGGTGCTCCAGAGGGTGAAGGAGGAAGATTGGGAATTAAAGGCCAGCTTGTGCTTCAAAAGACTATCTCAGTCTTCAAGTTGATAGATTTTTAAAAACTTGTTTTTTATTGAATTTTGTTGTATTTCATACAGAATACCTCAATCTGAATCATCTTTATAGCCCCCTCTCCCGGAACCCATATACTCTGTCCTGGGTGTTAGGGTCCACTGGTCAAGTCAGTGTCCCCAGACATTTCCCAGTGCAAGTCCATCCTCAAGTTGATAGAGTTCATGTTAATATTCTTCCCATAGTAAATGTCTTCATATTCTGTAAACTCATCAAAAACACCCTAAACACAGGGACTCTTGCATATTCAAATAGCCCACTCACAACAGTTCAGAACCTGTTTTTGCAACCCAAGACCTTATAGAGGACGGCTTCCAACCCTCACCGAAATGTCTTTGAGAAAAACTTTTCTTGACAAAGCAGAGGAAGTCTTGAATCTTTCTGAGACAGGATCTCCCTGTGTAGCCCATGCTAGACTTGAACCTAGAATTATCCTGTCTCGACCTCCCAAGTGTCAAAGCTATAAGACACACACCTCTATGCCCAATTTGATCTTTTTTTTTTTTTTTTTTTGGTCTTTTTTTGAGACAGGGTCTCCCTACAGCTCCCAATGACCTGGAACTTACTCAGTAGACCAGGCTGGCCTAGAACTCAAAGAGATCTGCCTGCCTCTGCCTCCCAAGCGCTGGGTTTAAAGGCGTGCATCACCACGCCCAGCTTGATCTTTCTTTTTAAAACATTTCCCAAAACATTCAGTGATAGAGCACTTGCCTGATAGGCTTCAGGTCCTGGGTCTGGCTTAAACCTCAGCACAGCAATAAAACAAAACAAAATACACTCATAGTAACAGAAAACACATGAAGTCGTCTATAAGTCTTCCCAATAAATCGTTTTTTACAAGTTCCCTTCCACACATTGTTCAAAACCCATGTCACCTGCCAATGCTATATGCATCAAATGTTTAGTTCAGATCTGAAGCACAGGTTACTGAGTACAGGAGTTTTCTCCATCACCTGTGGCTGTTATGATTTGATCTCAAATACCTGTACACTACTCCACATTAATGTATCATTTTCTTTGTGCGTGTGGTGTATGCATCCACGTGGGGGATAGGTGTGCCCTTCTACACACATGTGGGAGACAGAAGGATGTCCTCCTGTCTTCCTGTAGCACTCTCTACCTTATTCCCTTGAGACAGAGTCTCTCACTGACCAAACTTGCCCTGTTGGCTAGGCTGGCTGACCATAGAGTTCCAGAATTATGCTTGTGTCCCTCCCTCAGTGCTGGGATTACAAATATAAGCCATGCTTGTCTTTCTATGTGGGTGTTGGGGATTCAAACTCAAGTTCTTGTGCTTGCTCAGCAAACACTCTTCCCTCTGAGCCATCTTTGCAGCCCCCTCTTTATTTTCTTTAACAACATTCCATTATTGAGTATTCTGGTTATTTACATTTTTTTCACTCATATGCTCAGTGCTATAATAAAAGTCCATGTGGGGATGAGCTGGATATGGTGGTGCAAGCCTTTAATCCCAGCACTTGGGAGGCAGAGGAGGCAGGTGAATCTCTGAGATCAAGGTCAGCCTGATCTACATAGAAAATTCCAGGCCAGCTGGGGCTACAAGGAGACCCTGTCTCAAATAAAACAAAAATCCATGTGGGTAAATCTTTATGCTTTGGGACTATTTATTTATTCTTTGAGACAGGTTCTCACTATAATCAAGGCTGGCTTTGAACTTGGTATATACCCCCAAATGGCTTTGAACTCACAATCCTCCAGCCTCACTCTCCCAAGTTCTGGGATTATAGATGTGCCCCCCCCCCCCCCCCCCCCCCCCGCCAAGCTGGACTTTTTCTTTTTTTGTTATTTTTATAACATAAGTGTATTGCCTGCATGTATGCACTCTTGTTGTACAGTGCCCATAGAGGTCTGACACCCTGGAACTGGAGTTGTGGACAGTTGTTAGCCGCCATATGGGTGCTGGGAACCAAACCTGGGTCCTCTGCAAGAGCAGCCAGTGTTCTTAACAATAAGTCATCTCTCCAGTCCCATTTTATTTTGTTTTGAGACAGGGTGTGATTCTGCAGGTCAGGCTGCCTGGGACTGTGTAGCCCAGGCTGGCTTCACACTTGTTATAATCCTCCTGCCTGGATTTTATCTTGATGGCAAAGTTCTAACAGAGACATCAAAGAATATGGATGTTCTGACATTTTATTACATATTGCTGAATAATTTCTCAAAAGGATAAGAATAATTAAATCATGTGAACCATTCATTAATCATGCCTTTCTCTTAATTTCACTTTTTTCTTGTATGTCAAAAACAGTTGAGGCATTTCTGAAAATGACCAAAAAAGACTTTCTTGGTTTGGTGCAAGTGGGAGGTGTAGACAATCTACTGACTCGCCTCTCATCCATCTCTTTCTACATTCCCATGCTCCACACATGCTGAAGAAGTAGGAAGAGACTTCTCCTACCTCCTCCTGACCTCCCCTCATAGCTCAGACTACTGGCAGATCCTGTTCTTATTTCCTGTCCCGTCACTGGTAGAGGTTTCCTTGCCATTGACTTCACTGTTTCCAAAGCCTGAGTCACCGTCTTTCCCTCCCTCTGCCCTTCACATCCGTTTTTTCACACCTCATCCTAAGCAGCTTTCCCCAATTCAGTTTTAATGTCTTCCCCCTTCAATCAGTACACATCACGATGCAGGAACTGAAGATATTTAAGAGTTTATAATCTGCCAGGCATGGCGGCACATGCCTTTAATCCCAGCACTCGGGAGACAGAGGCAGGGGGATCTCTGTAAGAGTTCCAGACCAGTTGGGGTTACAGAGTTTATAGTCCTTTCCTGAAGTGAAGATGGGCATTCTGACCATCACCAGTGTATGGCAAATGCAATTTGCATGTTTTGCCTTCTCCTTAAGACATTTGTTACACCATAATAATGTTGTCTTCTTATAGTTACAAGTTCTTTACATTTTTGTCCCGCTTAGCAGGTCAGTAGCTCCCAAACTCTTGTGTGCATAAAATCAGTTGGGGGGAGAGATGGCTCAGTGATTAAGAGTACTGGCCGATTATGTGGAAGACCCGAATTCAAATCCCAGCACCCACATGGCAGTTGACAACTGCCTGTAACTCCAGTTCCAGGGGATCTGATGCCCTCTCTGTCCTCCATGGGCACTGCACAATGTGGATGTACTTACATACATGCAGGTAATACATGAATATACACAAAATAAAAATAAGACTGGGCATGGTTGCAAACACCTTTAATCCCAGCACTCGGGAGGTAGAGGCAAGTGGATCTCTGAGTTCAAGGCCAGCCTGGTCTATATAGCAAGTTCCAGGCCAGCTGGGGTTACAGGAAGACCCTGTCTCAAAAAAAAAAAAAATCAGTTGGACAGATATTTAAAAATAAATTGGAAATTTGGATATGGTATTACACGTCTATAATCCCAACACTTGGGAATTGGGAGGCAGAAAGATCAGGAATAATTCAAGGCTAGCCTGAGTGGCATAAGACCCTGCCTCAGACAAAACAAAAATGCAGGCCTGGGGATCAGTTCGGTGGCAACAGCACCTGCATAGCATGCTCTAGCATGATCTGAGGATTTCCAGAGCTTATCGCTACAGTTGTGTTGCTGGGTCTCCATCTCCTTGCTATTCAGCTGTAGTCCAGAGACCCAGCAGCACACCCTGGAAGCTGAGGGAGATGCAGTCTCAGACTCTACCCTTGACAAAAAACTGGCATCTCTTTATAAGATCTCCAGATGTTCACACACACACACACACACACACACACACACACATCAAAGTTCAGTAGTCAAGAGTTCCCTTGTAATCGCAGTACTTCAGAGACTGAGGCAGAAGGTTGACAGTTCAAGGCCAGCCTGGATTCTATTGCGAGACCCTGTCTCAAAGAAAATGGAGGGAGGGGGTTGGTGAGAGTAGAGCCTTGCTCAGTCATTCTCAAACTTGCCTGGGACTCAAAATTTAAAAAACAGTACCCTTTAGGGTCTGAAAGTAGAACTCAGAGTATTTATCTAGCATGCAAGAGGTCTCAGCAGTGAAAAAAAAAAGTTTATACAAGATGCCCAGCCTACATATAATGCATCAATTTAAAGCAAAAACTTAATGCTTACTATTTCTTAAGTGGTTCTCATCAATATTTTCTATTCTAATTTTTCTTTAATGCTGGTCTCAATCAATCACTAAATTGATTTTCCATCCCACTAAGATACTGCAGTCCACCATTTGAGAAAGTTGGCCTGAGCAAAGATAAATCAGAAACTGGCCCAACCTGTGGTATAGTGGCATTCATTTACTTTACTTTTCACTTAGGGGTTAAAAAAAATAGCTTTAGAAACAGAAGTTTTGGAAAGCTGAAAACATTTCTTCAGCTGGTGATGCTCCCACCCCATCCTTAGAGATACCCTCAATTTGGTCTGCTGGATTTCACTTGGGAACAGTTATGGAAAGAGCCCAGTTCTTCCACTAGGAGACTTCAACCGGGCTGGGCAGAGGCAGGCACTCACCATCAGAGGATCCAGACAGCTGCTTGCCTTGCTCGGTGACCTGGAGGCTCATGGGAATGTCCAAAAACTTCTCATAGCAGCTTCCATACCACACGAGGAGCTCTTGGTTTGGGTAGACCTCTTTGCAGCTCTCATAAAATATCTGGCCTTGACACTGTACAGCAACCAGGTTTTGCTCCTTGGGAAAGCGTGCACAGTTGACATAGGACATCCAGTTCCCAGAAGCTTTTCCATCTATAAAGTGGCTCAGGTGACCATCTTCAAATATCTAAATGAAACGAAATTTGTTTTTTGTGTGTGTTTTGAGACAGGACCTTGTTATGTAGCTGAGGCTGGCCTCAAACTGCCTGAACTTCCTGAGCTCAAGGATTACAAGTATGCACTACCACCCCCAACTGGGAATGAGCTTTTGATTTGCACTTTTCTTTTTGCCTGATCTGTAAAATGAAAATAAAAAATTATAACCCAAATTTCTTACTTGAACCTAAGGAATACTTTTAATTCAATTTCATGTGTATGAGTGTTACGCATGCACTTACGCTGTGCAGTGCCTATGGAGGACAGAAGAAGGCATCGGATCCATCGAACTGGAGTTATGGACCATTGTTAGCCGTGATATGGGTGCTGGGATTTGAACCCCAGTCTTCTGCAAAAGCAGTCAGTTCTTAACCACTGAGCCATCTCTCCAGTCTCCAGAACGTCTTTTTATAAATCAGATTTCTGTACAGTCACAACTAGCATATAATATAAACCCACTTAAACTTAATAAACCCCTCCCCGTTTTGAGATAGGGTCCTATGTAGCCCAGGCTGGTTTTGAACTTGCTTGTATAGCTAACGATGACCTTGAACTTCTGATCTTCTTGCCTCTACTACTGGAGTACAGGTATGTGCCATCATGCCCAGTTTATGTGGAACAAGTGATTCAGGCATGCTGGGCAAGAACTCTGCCAACTGACCTACATTCCCAGCACCTACTTAGTAACCTAAAGATATATTTATAGATTATGCAACATACTTTTAAATATTTTATTTTTATTTTGATCTTTTTGAGACAGGGTTTCCCTGTAGCCCCAGCTGGCCTGGAACTTGCTATGTAGATCAGGCTGGCTTCAACTCACAGAGATCTGCCTGCCTCTGCCTTTCAAGTGCTGGGATTAAAGGTATGTGCCAAGCCCAGCCTTAGTTATTTTATGTGTATACATGTATTGCCTATATGTATGTTAAGTGCACCCATGTCATGCAGTGCCCACAAAGGACAGAAGAGGGCATCAGATACCCTGGAACTGGAGTTACAGAGAGTAGTTAGCTGCTGTGTGGGTGCTGGGAACAAAATCCAGGTCTTCTGTAAGAACAGCCAGTGTTCTTAACCACTAAGCCATCTCTCCAGCCCCACAACATACTTTTAGAAAGTTCATGTTTTTATCACTTTCTTAACATGTGAGTTTCTATGGCTAGCATGCTAATTCAATAACCAAAGGTAAGGCAAGCAGATAGGTTACATTTAACCTCAGCATTTAAAGGTCACTGATAATTTAACTTCTGCTTGACATACAGGTATATGGATGGAGTTGCCATTTAATGCTCCACTGTGGCACAGCAACTTCAGTGACTCTCATGTTTTATATTAAATAACGTCATGTTTTCAGATTATAGTCTTCCATATTGCTTGAATTTCAGATTATCTTCCTAACCTATATTCTTAGAAGTTTGGTGTCAAGATATGTAAAATATTTTAAATTATGTGGTACATTCTGATAACAGGTTTCCTCTGTAAATTAAAGCTTGCTATCTCACCAGTCTGTACTGTCACAAACTAGAAGAATGTCATTTCCTTAAATCCTTGGCCAATTTTATAAGAAAGAGCAAAGTTTAAAATTTATTTTTCCCTTCAATAGCATACTTTCAGCATGCTACAGTATTCAAAGCATTTGGTTTTGTCTGCAAATATGCTATAGTATAGTAATTCTTGAAATGTACATCCAGTGGCCAATCTGCAGATTTAAATGACTTCAGATTCCACCAGGAGGGATCATCCTGCTGGAGTCAAAATCTGTCCCTCTCAGCAGAAGGCAAAGACCTTTCAGGATCTCCCCCAACCTCAAACCACCCTCCCCTTCTTCAGCAGACCCACCAGAATCTTATTTACCTCCCACATCCGAGAATTGTCCCTATGGGTCTTGACTTCGCTGGTGTTGACCACTTTGCCTTGAAAGGGTCCAAACCTCATTCCTTTGGCAATGAAACTGCTGCAGAACACACCAAAGTGCTGGACTTCACCGAATGCTGTCTGCAAGAGGCAGAGACCTAGGAAAATCCAAGGCAAGGGAGGAAGAGAGGGTGAGCAGAGTAACTCAGCATGAGTTCTGGGAAATAAATCCAAGTGAGGAGTGCAGCCCACCTTCTGGAAGCTGAAGGGAGTCTTTATCTAGATTTTGAAGAAAATGATTGGATCCTAGAAAAAGACAGTGTTAAATTATTTTTCAGTAAAAATAAATGAACTATGAGTCGCTTCTCTGAGGAAGGGTTTCCTCCTTATCCCCTAAGGGTCGCTCAGAGTTTGATGTTTACCTATGCTTTACAGTTTTTCTTGCTCTTTCACACAGGCTTTTTGTACACAATTGCTCACTTGAGACTCAGAAAAAGACACCCTTTAGGCAAAGTTTTAACTCCATTTTGCAAACTTGACAATCAAAGACAATGCTAGGTCAAGGAGGATGGCCAAGCAGTGACCAGGTGTGAATGGCTTGAGGCTCTGCACCACCAGCCACCCCCATCCCACCCCACCTCCAGGGAATTGGGTGGACCATTTCTCTCCTAAATCCCCAGCATTCACTAAAACCAATCTTAGGAATTATGCAGTTAAGCCTGGAGGGCCCGAGAAGTGAGCCTAGGCGGCAGGAGGCTCTGCCTACACCCTATTCTGAGATCCACTTTGAAATGCTCTTCCTAACAAGGTGGTCCCCACCTGTTCCATCCAACCCAAATTCCAAATATAAATTTCCTCTACCAGAACTGTCTGTGGGGACCAAGATGCCTGAAATTGCATGGTGCAGGCGGGTTGGGTGCTCCAGGCTGGGAGTGGCCCCATATAGAACAAAACGCAGTTCCTCCTCTGTGAAGTGGAAAGGGCGAAGAGGTAGCTTCCTCTCTTGGTCCAAGGTTTGAGGGACCGATATTAACTGGGAGGTCTTCAGTCCATCAGGTAGCAGGGAAGAAACCGCCTGAGTCTGCGGAAGTAAATTTTCCGGTCCCCACCACTGGCTCTTTCGGTCGCCAATAAGGGCCAAATCTTGGTTGCTGGGGCTGCCACGCGTGTACTCAGGGCTGCTCAGAAATCCTGAGAACTCCGGAAGGAGGTGAGGAATTGGGTACCACGGCGACAGCTTGTACCAGGGTAGATTATAGAGCCGCTCACTTTGTACAACCAGACCAGGGCTGGGCAAGGGAGGTGCCACCCCGAAGGGGTTGAAAGGGGCCATCGCTTGGGATGCAGACTCTGCAGCCTCTAACTGCCCCAGAGGCCGGAAGTCCTCCTCGCTGGTGGCCAGGTTCCTGTAGTGGCGGTAGCCCGGGAAAGGGGTGTAGTAAGCAGCCAGGTGCCGGGGAGTACTCTGGAGCGGGTAGTGTACCTTGTCCTGGGACTCGGTCTCACTCGGCGGCGGTATAGCCATCGCAGGCTGAGTTCCGCAGATCTCCTGAAAATCGAAGCGGCTGAGTGCAAGAGTCCCAGGTGGTTTACCTGTCTGGTTTCTCCCACCCCTGTCAGCCCCTAAGTTAGCGAATAAACTTCCCAGTTCGATCCCACCAAGTTTATCCTAGGAAAACAAAGCAAAAAATACTAAACACAAATCTTAAAAATCTTAAACGAAAATCTGCCACAATCCCGCCCGACTGCAGGATGTGGGTTCGGGTCGCCTTTTCCTCGGCGCTCCAAACTATCCTGATCAAAGACTGCTGGCCTCCAACACCTGCTGTCCACACTGGCCCCCCCAACCCGGCTCCTGCAAAACGTGTTTCAATTCCCCTTTGCTTCTAATTCTCAGGCCAACAAAAACGTTCCTCCAGAGTCAGTTGAGGCTCTGAACCTTTCCTCATTCAGGATGGTCCAGAGCCAGAACCATCCAGCAAGGGCTAGGGGCAGGCGGCGGCTCTAGGCAGAGCCAAGGGGCTCGCTCCGGGTTGGGATTCCGACCAGGAGCTCCGCACCAGTGCGAACCCTTTGGGGAGACCCTTGCTTCATCTCCAGTGCTCAGTTCCCCACCGACCCAGCGGCCCAGTCTGGCCACATCCCAACTCTGCCATCATTTCAGCCTGCGTCGCCTCTGGAGACCCAGGGATGACAGGTCTCTAGCCAGATAAGAGAAACCTCCCTGGCCGCCAGTCCTATGTCTCCCGCTGCGGTCCCGCCCGAAACAGGGCGCTTTGGTGATCTCTCACCAAGGCTGAGGAACTGAGCTCCAGGAGGGCCCGCGGGTCTTGAGGGCAAGATCAATGCTTCTAATAAGAAAGCCAACCAGGGTCATGACTCAGAAATTAAAGAACACGGGGTCAGGAGGAAAGGTCAGGCACCAAGCAGGCAGGCATCTGTCCATCTCCTAAGGCTCCGAAGGCGCTCGGTTCCAACTCCAAGGGCCTGCAGTTTGGGAGCTGTGGGGACCAAAATCCACACGGACTGAAAGAAACCCCGAAACAGAAAAACCAACACCCAAAACGAACTTCGATAGGGAGTGCAGCGCAACCTTCCCTGCCGCACTTTTGGCTGGGGAAACCCTGCACACAGTCACTTACCTCCGGGACCCAACTCCAGACCTCTCCCAACTCCAGATCTCCAGAGCAGTAGCCTTCAGGCAAACCCTGAGGGCGGGGCCAGCTTCAAGGAGGAGGGTTCGGGCTGGCCGCAGGGCACTTGGAGGGCGTGGGTAAGGATGCGACCAGGCCCTCGCTGGTCCCCAGTCCTTTTCTCCCCGCCCACCACAGCCATTGGCGGTCGCTGGGCTGTCTCTGGGTCCCCAGATATCACCCACCTCACTCCTCTGTTCTACAGACCCCCGCCTCCCCCAGAGGAATCCTAGGGTGCTTTTGACCCGCCTGTCCAGACTGACACTATTGATGTTCCAGGCTAGCGGAGTCAGGGAGCAGAGCAAGTGTGCCCAGGGTCCCCAGAAGCTCATTGGTAAACACACACCACCCTGAGCTGGTGTGGGAGTGTCCAGGGCAGGGCAGATGTGCCCATGGTCCTCAACAAGCCTATTCGTGTACACACACGCACACATACTACACCCTAAATTGTAGTTTGGGAGCGAGAGCAGGACAAGTCTTGTCCAGGGTCCAATAAGCTCATCTGTAAGCACACAAACACATTCTTTAAACCAGCATTCAGGAGCTGAGAGCCTGACAGGTGTTCTCAAAAGCCTCCCCCCACCGCCACCACCCTGAACTGGTAGAACCAGGTGGGCCTTTGTCTCATGGTCAGGAGTTGGGTGCTATCCCAAGAGGTGAGAAGCAGCGCCCTTCGGGTCATTTGTACTGACGCCTGAGCTTTGTGGGCTTCCACGCCCTTCGGAGTTTCGGGGTTGTTTTGCCCTCTCAGCTGCTTTTACTTCTCTGATTTTAGCCATCACAAGTCAGTCAGCCACCACGTCCCACACCTCAGCTGACCCTGCACCTGAAGGCTTGAGACCTTAAACCATTCTCTGAAAACCAAACGTAGAGACTGTACCTGGTGCTGAACCGAATGTACTTTTATTCCACCTCTGGCCTTTGAGGGGGAGAAAGGAGCACTTAATTCCATTTACATTCACAGATCAAAGCACCTAGGGAGGAGAAAACCACAGCCAAGCAGGTGACCTTGGCCAGGTTCCTTGACACTCTTCCTCTTTGCTGTACTGGGACATCCACCTGCCCTGGGGCAGGCTGTGATGGCTCAGAGGAGAGGCTTGGCAGTGATCTGATTGCTAATCATAGAGGTAGGCTAAGTGGGAAGCATCTACTGGCTAGGCGACACCGCCCAAGTTCCTAACGCTGCATAGAATGGAAGTCCCATCTCTGCAGGGGCTGTACCCGATTCTGCAGCCTGTGTCCCAGGTCAGGCGGTAGGTGAGAAACGCATGAAGGTGCTGGACCCTGAGTCCCTGGGGGCTGCAGGCGATGCGCACCAGCTGACCACCAAGCTAGGTCCCTGCCTGTAGTTTCAGGTGCACCACAAGGACCAGCGCTGCCCACACCCTTACTGACTTCACAGTTGCAGGATGGATCAATGTGTGAAATGGTGGGTGCTCTTATTTACCCAAATGAGATGGGAATGACTAGGGACTGCTGGGTTCCCTCTGTCCCGGAGATGGTGGTGATGGGGAATAGATATACAAATAGTATGTGTTGATCTTGTCTTGAGAGTCCAGCACCTCTGGGGAAGGATCCTATAGTTTAAAAAGCAGCGAAAGTGCAGGAAAGGGTTCATCCAGAGGCCTGACTACTTCAGGGCCTCAAACTTCCATCTACAGCACCATTTTGGTTACAGTATGGTTAAAGATTGATGTGGGAACAAAGAAGAGGGTCTCTAGGTGTTTTTAGTGCATTCAAGGGTTGCAATTTTAGCAAAGGCAATTAGCTTAGAGACTTGTTCTGTAAAGAATCAAGAATTTGGGGCTGGAGAGATGGCTTACTGGTTAAGAGCACTGACTGGTCTTGCAGAAGACCTGGGTTCGAATCCCAACACCCGCATGGCAGCTAACAACATTCATAACTCCATTTCCAGGAGGATCCATTGTCCTCATCTGTCCTCCTCCAGCACTGCACAGCATGGGTGGACTTATAACACTCATACAGTTAAAAAGAATCAAGAATTTGTTATACTTGAAATCAACTTACTTGCCTTAAAAATTATTGTGTGCTGTGTGTGTGAATGCTGCAAGCAGGAGCCATGGCACATATAGAAGTCAGAAGGTAACTTTGGGGAATTGGCTTGCTCCTCCCATCTCAGGTTCTGGGGATCAAATTCAGGTCAAACCTTTCATGGAAGTACTTTGAGCTGTGCTATATCACTGCCTAAGACTTAACTTGCTCAAAAACTCTCAGACTCCATTCCCACCCTTTGGAAGTAATCCTGATTAACAGTTTGGTTAATCCTTTCCCTCCCCTTCCCTTCCCTCCCCTCCCCTGCCCTGCCCTGCCCTGCCCTCCCTGCCCTTCCTCCCCTACCATTTTCTCTTCCTTTTCAGCTAGTCTTACTAAGTAATCCAGACAGACCTCCAATTCCAAACCCTCCTGCCTCAGTCTTCCAATCACAAGGATTAGCGGTGTGCAGTGGTATACAGTGTTTGCGATTTAAAAGAAAAGGAATCATATTTTCTGCTGTTCTGCACTTTTTCTTAACACCTTCCATTCCTTATGAGTACATTAGGATCAATGTTATTCCTACTGATGAGTGGTCCAGTTTCATCTCCTGGGTGTGCTCCATTTCATCAGCCTCTCTTGAAAGGTATTTAAACTGCTGTCACTTTTACATGCTTGAAGCAACTTCTGGGAGCAGGTGCTCCCTGGCCTTGAAGAAATATCCAGGCATAGAAGTGCTGACTCATACTGTTTCCACACTGAGCTTTGTAACAGATACTTGACACCACACAGCTTTTTATCTCTGCCAGTGATAGGTGTGAGTGCCTCCATTGAGACTACTGGCCATGTGGCCACCACCATCTCCACAAACGTTTTTTCGAATGTGTAGCTACAGGGAATGCAACTGTGAGCAAATAGCCTGGGTCTCTTTAATGGTTTAATAAGAAGGTCTGCACTTGTGTGAATACTGGATGAATGGTGAACTGTGGAGGGAAAAGTATAAAGTAACAGCAGTGACAGAGAAGTACTTGCTCCAGGTGAGACTGGAAGGGCAGGGGGGCGCTCTTGATTATGAAACTGCAGTGATCTATGGAAACAGTTCCATGAGGGAGACGGATGGTGTGCTGGACAGCTTTAGTGTCAACTTGACACACCTGGGTTGAGGGAGCCTCAATTGGGGAATTGCCTCTATTGGACTGGCCTGTGGCCATGTCTGAGGGGCATCTTCTTGATGAGTGATGTGGGAGGGCCCAGCCCACTGTGGGTGGTGCCACCCCTGGGCAGGTGG